TCCCTTTTTTTTTTTTTTGCTTCCACTCTTAGGGACTGCGGGAAACAAGTTTATTTAGGTAAGAAAAGGGAAAAAAATCCAATTTCTGCAAATAATTCAAATAATCTCTGTTTTCTTTAATCTAATGCATTTTGTTTGAATTTTCCCAGGTGGGTTCGACACGGCTCATGCTGCAGCAAGGTTGGTTATTTCAATTATTCTTTTTTAAAAAAAGTTTGTATCATCAAACATGTGTTTGTTTCTCGAGAAAATTTCCAGTAAAATCTTCCCTTCTTCAATTTTGGATCGCCAGAGCTTATGATCGAGCGGCGATAAAATTCCGAGGAGTGGACGCAGATATAAACTTCAACATCACTGATTATGATGAAGATATGAAACAGGTGAGCCACTCATTCGAAAATTCTTTAAAGGTGAAGCAAAGAAGGAAGAAAATGAAATGATAGTGATATTCAGTGGATTGATAACAAAAATTTTATAAATTTTTTCTGTAATTTTGGCTCTGCCCCAAAAGATAGAAGTTTTGATAATAAAGAGGATTTTTTTTAAATTTCTTCTTCTTATTATTTTTTGTTGGTGTAGATGAAGAAGCTGAGTAAAGAGGAATTTGTTCATGTTCTTCGACGGCAGAGCACTGGATTTTCTCGTGGAGGATCGCAGCTGAGAGGATTATCTCTACAAAAATATGGAAGATGGGAAGCTCAGATGGGCCAAATCATTGGGAAGAGGTAAGTAAATTAAGAAAAGAAAAAACCCTCTTCCATGATTTTTTTCCGACACATAAGAAATATAAAGATCTCGAATCGATCTGAGTTGATTGATATTTGACCGTTTGAACTATATTTTGATTGACAACCTATGACGAAATTTAGTGAGGTAGATAAGAAAAATAATGAATGAATGGAAAAGATGGATTTCTCGTGGTTAGTTTGAAAGATGAACTAAAGTAAACATGTTCGTTTTTTTTTTAATTGAAAACAGTGGAGTTGAGCAAAAGACTTGTAAGGGGGAGACGATGGTGGAGGCAAGCAATGGAGGTAAAAAGAAAAAAAAAACCAATGATTCAAGTTGTCATGTTGTCTTGTTTCCCGAGAGGATGTATTGGCAAGAGCTTGGAGTTTGAAAAGGTTTCAAGTTCAAGCCTTGCATGCCACACGACATCGATTCTAAAAAAAAAAAATTGTCATATTGTCTCAAAGAAAAATTAGGGTTTTTCTTTTTTAATTCCATTTGTTGTGTTTGAATAAAATAAATTTTCTTTGAACGCAGGAAATGGGCATAATCTTGATCTAAGCATTGGGGGAATTTTCAACTACCATTTTAGCAATTCTTCCCAGAAGCTCAATATTGAGAGACCAAAGGTAGTAGAAAAAATAATAAATGATTTGTCTGAAATTTTTATTACATTTTTTTTTACAAAATCTATTTTCAAAATAATGAACCAACTTAAGTGTTTATCAGCAACACTCATCTATTATTGACTATTATTAAAGACAGAAAAATGTAGAACATATATTTTTTTCCTATTTTTCATATATTTTTCAAAATTTTTATTAATGGTAGGTATAAAGATGGATGCTGACTATTAAACATTTAAATATTGTTTTAAAGAAATTTTTCTCAAATAAAAACAAAAAACAAGATATAAAAAAAAAAAGTGAAAAGTAGAAACACTAATCAAGTACTGATTAAACGAACATATGTCTATTTTTATTCTTTTGTATGTGGTGATAAATTTGATAGAAAATAATAATTATGGATAATGAAAAAGAAGTTTTGAGAGCATAATAATTGATGTCTTTATAGATAAAAATAATTGATATCTTTTCTTTTTTTGGTTGGCAGAATGAAAATAATTGTGTGGCTGGAGGACAACCTCATGTTCCTCCTTCTGTCTGGTCTGGCTTTTACTCTGGTTTTTCACCAGATGATGAGGTAATTTTCTCATTCCCTTTTTTTTTTTGGAACTTTCACCATTTACCTTTTTAAGGGTTAAAATATTTGAAGGCTGGTTTCAACTTTATATCTATCATTTAAAAGGTTATTTAACTCTGTTATTGACATTTAAAATTGATTCCAATATATCTTAAAAAAATTTATTGTTAAAACTAGTGAGGGACGTTGTTGAGTTGTAAAGATATAGACATCACTTTTAAAGAATGAACAATAAATGTGGAAAGTACACATAATCACTCAGCAATTAGTGATGTGCTAGTTAAAAAACGAAAGGACTTATCACAAGTTTTTTGGTCATTTTTCAAGTCACGTTGGCGACTTCTTCATTTACAGCGAAACAAGCAACTACATCTATTTCCGTCACTTATTTTTATGGTAAAATTATTCAAGTGCATATTTGAATCAATTTCAAATGTCAATAATAGAAGTAAATTTCTTTTAACGATAACAATATAAATGAAAAACTAACCTCAAAGTTCATAGTATTTAGCTAATTTTTGTCTTATATTTTAGTTTTTGAACTCATTATTAATTATAAAAAAAACTATTGGAATCTGTTTTCTTTTTTTTTTGGTAATTTTTCTTTAATACACCATTGATTCTTTTCTTTTTCTATTTACCTAATCAACAAGGTATCTATATAAACAAATGTTGAAGCCACAGGCGGTAAATTAGGTATTAGTCTTTCCTATAAATTTGAATTCTTGTTAAATGCTTAAGGGTAAGAACTAAAATAGAGGCGGTTGGAAAAGTTTAGGGACTCAACGAAAATATTTCAAGTTAAGGGATCAGAATAAAACATCAGGAAGTTTAGAAAATAAGTAAGAAAATTTAGATAGGTACCAAAATAGGATTTAAGTCTATTTGTCTCGTCTTTCAATAATTTATCACTCTCTTTTATTTAGAATGTTAGCACAATACAATATAGAGACCATGACCCAAGCATATAAAGCACTTGGTGCAAGCAATTTTTGACAACTATTTTGAAATTTCCTACCTAGAAAATGGACTTCCCAATCCCTTCTCCAATCAACTTTCCAACCCGAATTCGACCTTTTCGAAACGAACTTTTCTCCTCTCATCTCTCCATTCTAAATCACCCTATAATAACTCTATTAGCATAAATTCATCATATTTGTTAGAATAACAAACTCATTCAAACCAGTTTCGTTTCTTTTGAAATCTCCTCCTCATGTAATAAACCTAAAAAACATAAACCAAGCAACTTTATTTTCTACACAATAACCAAACCCATTTGAACTAAAGCAAAACAAAGCTAAAATGGTCGTTTTTTTTGTTTTCTCCTCACAGGAACGAGGGAGAGAGAAGAGAAACAACGGAGACTCGACAAAGATCCCCACAAGTTGGGGATGGCAGATGTCGATGCCAATGCCAATGCAAATACAAGGGAATATGAGTAGTAATGGAATAATAGGTAGAGAAGAAGCTCATGTTCTTCCCAAGAGTGCAGCATCATCAGGATTCTCTTCCTCTTCTAATTTTGGTTCACTTTATGCCCAAAACAACACCACCAATATTTCTTAACAACAAACAACAATTTGATGTGTCTTTGGCTTCTAATTAAGAGAGGAATTTAATAATTTATCAAGCCAACAACCACAATTAGTTAAAATATTTCCAATTTTTTTCTTTTTTTCTTTGGCGAAATTTGGAGTATTCCTAGCTATATATATGCATGTACATATACATATAAGAAGTATGATTTTGAGGAATTGGTTGCTTTTTGTAACCAAATTGTATGGCCTTTCCATTATTGGAGGCTCTCTTTTTCATTACTTTGAAAAGAAATGGCATTGATATATTTTATTGGGAGCAACTTTTTTTGGCAATTTGGCAAGAGGGCAAGACAGTCAACTTTATAATATTGTTATTTGAGCCTTTTATTATATGTCAATGTTTGTGTAAAGAAAAAAAAAGTGCAAGTTCCTTTGCCTTTTGGGTGATGTTTAAGTTTGTTAAGTCTCTCTTGAATTTGATGCTACAAGTTTGAAGGAATTATGGAGAAGAATTTATGGCAAATGAGGAATAATCTCTCTTTATCTAGTGAAATTGATGCAATGGGTCTGGACTAAATAAGTCGAATCTATGTAAAACAAGAAATAATTTATTATTTTTGTCTAAATTTATGTAGTGGGTTTGGGTAACAAAAGTAGCATCGACAACAAATGGAAGAATACTATTCTCTCCCCTCTCTCTGAAAAAAAAATATATATATTCAAGTTTGAGTGACATGAATGGAATCAAAACGCTAACAGGAGTAGGTTAATGCCAACACATGAGCATGGTTCGGTAATTGACATGTACTTATCCCTTCGAGATTGGAGGTTCGATCTCTCATATCTCCAAATTGTTGTACTAAAAAAATAGCTACAAGTTATGGTCTACTATTTCTTTTTAGGTAGGAGGTTTAGATTTCCACGGTCTCACTTTTGTTATACTAAAAAAAAATTGCGTTGTACTCATCCCCTTAGCGGTAACATGAGCATAGCTCAACAATAATTGACATGTACTCATCTCCTCGAGATCGGAGGTTCGATCCCTTGTATCTCCAAATTGTTGTACTAAAAAAACAAGTAGTTCAACGATAAAAGTTATAATCTACTATTTTTTTTAGGTAGGAGGTTCAAATTTCCACGGTCTCACTTTTATTGTACTAGAAAAAATTTGCTCTGTAACCAAGAAGAAAATATTGCCTCTCTTTATAAATTATTCAGACATGTACATGGAGTTACTATGTTTGTAATTCATATTATAGAGGAATATTATTGTCAGTCTCTTATCTATAAATTAATCGATGTAGTTGCAGACTTGAGCGTAACTCAATTGATTTATATGTATTATGATTTTATAAGTTAAAAATGATAAAATAATGTTTTTATCTATATTTTGAAATAAACTGGAAATATAAACAAGAAACTTGAATTTATTCTCTTCAAAATTGCTATACTATTTTAAAATAGTTACCAAACACTTATGTTTCTAAAAAATTAATGAACTGTTATTCAAATTCAACTCAAACAGCTCTTGCGGCCTGCACCGAAACAATGCTTTACCCATAGATGTCCAGTCAACTGCTGCGCCTCAACGCATTTCAGGGAGAACCAGCTAGCTCTGGGTTCGAGTGGTATTTCACCCCAACCACAACTCATCCGCTGATTCTTCAAAGATTTTAATTTATGAATTTTTCTTATTTCAATCCTACAATAATTAAAGAGACGAAATTGTTTACTTTGTTGTACCAAATTGTAAAGTCAATATAATTTTCTTTAAATTGAGTTGAAAAAAAAAAAAAAAAGAAACAACTTGAACCTTAATGTCTTTTAAGGAAGAAAATTCTGACCATTCAAATTCTAAAATAGGGCATGTTGAAAATTATGTTTCGAAATGAAGAAAATATGAAAGTAGAAAAAGTTATGGGAATTGAAAGAAAAAAGACATGATTTGACACATTACTTTATTTGGGATGCAACTTGCTTAGGTTGTTGCCGACACAATAAATTATATAAATATACATATTTATGTAACGAATTAATTTGACCTTCACCAAAAGTTTTCAACTATCCAAGTTTGAACCAAAACTTTTTGGAAAATGTATTATTATTAGGATAGAATCATTTTGTCCAAGGGTGAAAACCCCAAGATTATTGAAAAATCTCATTCCATGGGTTTGAACCATAATTTAAGTGATGGAAAGCAGGAATAAATAAAAAAATAACTGATAAATTAAAAATAAAAAAAATTCTAGATCGGAGAAAAAACATGGCCCACAAAAAAATAAAAATTATTACAGTTTTTTTGAATTTTCTCTCCCACCTCAGTTACGTAAAACGCCTCCTTAAAATAAATATCACTCAAATAACTAGTACCAGTAAATTACGTTTAAATATTTTTTTAACGAGAATGAATAAAATTCAAATCACGTGCCCTTTTTATATCAAAGTACACCCTCTCAATGATACCTTTTCAAACAACTTCTAAACTAAATCCTTTTCCCATTTAAGTACAAAATATTTTTCCATTATGTGTCTATTGTTTTAAAAGTTGTAATTTCATTTCATATTTTTCATAACTTTTCAATGAAAATTTTATTTGATAAAATCATGATAATTAAATAATATTTTTTTCTTTTAAACACGGGGAGATTTGAACTGATGAATTTTTTGTTAGAGACAAATGCCAATTAGCGCGTTGAGTTAAACTCATGTAAGTATAATTGAATAATAAAATTTTTTCCAAAAAAAATAATAATTGAATAATAAAATAGTGATGCTGGCATTAAAATATATTATTTTACATGAGTTGATATTTTTCAAATGTCAAATATATTTACTTCACTCTTCTCTATTTGAATTCTACAGGATAAAGTTTAATTACACTAACTTTATACCTTGCCCATCTTACTAAACGAAAAAAATAACTCCAACTCGCGTTACTTTATAAAATTTTCAATAATTTGACAGAATTATAATTAAAATATCGAAAATGTACTTGAAAAGTTATATTAAAAACTAAACGGAAATTAATAAAATTAATTAAAAAATCTATAAATTAAATTAATTAGAAAATACCGAAAGTAGCAAAAAAAAAAATCCAAAACCTGTCAGATGGGCATGCACCACAAATATGTGACCTAACTGGGCTAGTTTGAGAAATGCCCAAGAAATATTGGGCCGTAGAGCCTAAGAAATTATGAGTGGCCCAATAAGTATTTCTGGCCCAGCCCATGATCCAGAGCTCAAAACTTTGGACGGTGGGGTTTCTCTCAGGCAAATGTTCTTCTTTGTTTCCCTGTCGTCGTCTCTGAAACACCAAACAAAGAGATGTGGCGCACCATTGACGCCCATCTGAGGTCCGTACGCCTCATCCCCAAGCTCTCCGCTTATTCTTCTTCTTCTTCTTCATCGTCTCTTCTGTTCGCCGCCGGCCGGTCGTTTCTCACTCGCTCGAGTTCGAGCCTCCTCTCGCCGGTGCCGCAGTCTCACTCGATTACTCTCTGCAGAACCCTATCCTCCCGCGCTAACGTTAATTGTTTCTCGAGTGATTGGTGTATTGGCCTTGGAATTCGGCGCTTCGGAAGATCGAGTTGCGGTTTGGTTGTGTTGGCGAGGTGCATTACCTCCTCGGTGCACACGTTGGAGTGGAATGAACCGGTGTCGTGTTCGGAGGTCGGCGATGGAGGTTTCCGGAGTATCGGGGAAGGAGTTAGCGATGGTGAAGGGGATGAAGTTGAGGAGGATTCTAGGCCCTCTATTCCTGTCAGAGCTTATTTCTTCTCGACTAGGTTGCTATCTCGTTCGCTCTTTTAATTTTCGTCTCCTGGAATGTTTAACTGTGTTTGTGAGAGTAGTTGCGTTGAATTGTGCGTACAAGGAAAGAACTGCCATGTTCGTTCTGATTTTACTGTAAAATTTACTCTTAATTCTTCTCCGTGCTGTACAATTTTATTTCCCATCATAAGGTTGCTCGTTTGGTCTATTTTTTTCTTACCTTGTGTTGTTCTAGATTACTAAAGTCATTGATTATTTTCTAATGATTTTGGAAAATTTCTTGCGTGATTCTTGGTGAGTGAACGAGGTAGTATGTAGCTTCAAAAATAATGAAAATTGAGATAAGAGGTGATCTAGTTTATGATTAGAGTCTCATATAGTTGAAGTTATGACACAGCGAATTGTACACTTGTGTATTTCTGATTTGTTCTCCATCCCGCATCTTTCTTTGATTCAGTGTTGATTTGAGAAGCTTGGTGGATCAGAATAAATGCAACTTTATCCCGCCATCATCACGTATGACGAATTATGTTGTCCTTAAGTTCGGCGATCTTTGTAATGCGAACGTAAGTTTGCTTTTTGGTGGACTATTATTCATGATTAGTTGGACGAACACACTTTTGAAGAAAATTTTCTGTTTCAGACGCTTAGCGCCAGCATAACCGGCAGTGACTGCTGTTTCATGGTAGTTTTTCAGTATGGCTCCATTGTGCTGTTTAATGTCCGCGAACATGAGGTTGATGGGTATTTGAAAATTGTAGAGAAACATGCATCTGGATTGCTTCCTGAAATGAGAAAAGATGGTAAGGTCTTATTTCCAACGTATCTTTACATGAATCTTGTTTCTATTGGAGTTATTATCATCATTGTTGTTGGTGGTGGTGATAAGAAACACAAACACACAGATTTCATTTACCCTAAAGGGAGTAAGAAAAGGGGAGGAGATAACCCATCCTCCCTTCCTAAAAGGGGATCTATATGAAATATCCCGTCTAAGTTGACAAGATAGATAAGAGTAGTTACAAAAAATGACTACACGAGGCACTCAAACAAGATGCCATATGGTGTACACAGTCCAAAAGACTGTCAAAAGAGCTATATCTATCTTTATAATCGTTCCTTTCTTTCCAAATTGACCAAATGTGGCCTTGGCCGCATTGGGACGGACTGGAAATTTGTTGGCAATATGTCTACACCTCCATAAATTTCTAGCTCTGTTAGTACGTTTTCCTGCTATATTGCTTTGAGTTACTTTTAGTATGTTCTGCTATTTTGAAAGTGTGAGTTAACTTAGAATAATGCTGCTTAAGTGTATAGTTGTATCTGAACTTGAAATTGTATGAATTTGTAGAGTATGAGGTGAGAGAGAAGCCTGCTTTGAATACATGGATGGAAGGGGGACTGGACTACATAATGCTGCAATACTTGAATATTGATGGTATACGTACCATAGGTAGTGTTCTTGGTCAAAGCATTGCTCTTGATTACTATGGGCGACAGGTAGTTACTATATCTGACTAGAGATTTTAATACTTCAATTAGTATTGATGATGTTTGACGCGATGCCACCATGCTTTTAACATTTGCTGCGAAGGTTGATGGGATGGTTGCCGAATTCACTGACATAAACCGTGAAATGGAAGCAACTGGGAAGTTTAAAATGAAGAGGAAGAAACTTTTCCAGTTGGTGGGAAAGGCAAACTCGAATCTTGCTGATGTTATTCTCAAGCTTGGACTTTTTGAGAGGTATTTCTCTCTCTCACTCAACTAATAACATATGTATGCTCAGCACACTTGTTAGTGAGTTTACTATTTCCTTTGCTTATCCTGATTCCTAGCTTGAACCTAAAAGAATTTTTTATTATCTTTTTTCAGATCAGACATTGCGTGGAAGGATGCAAAATATGCCCAAATATGGGAATATCTCAGAGATGAGTTTGAACTAACACAGAGATTCGCAAGTCTAGATTTCAAATTGAAGTTTGTGGAGGTATACCATCTTGCCTAAGATGAGAATTTGTTATTCTTGATTCTTGATTCGTTGATACGAATAGATTTCATCTTTAACTCCATTAACTTTTTTTCCCTCTTTTTTTGCCAGCATAATATTCGCTTCCTACAGGAAATTCTGCAGAACAGGAAATCAGATTTTTTGGAATGGCTGATCATCGCATTGATTGGTGCCGAAATTCTACTCTCACTTTATGACATTATTCATAGATCAGCGGCTAATCTTTAGCACTGCTTGTTTGCTGATCCTTGCATTTTGATCCGGGTAGTTATGGTCGGGTTTCTGTGCTCGGTAAGTATATCGCCACTGCAATTTGTAGAATGTACATAGCTATGTAAATTGGAACGTTCTGCTATACAACCCCGATAATTTAACGAATTTAAATTATCGAACCGCACTCTAAGAGCGCCTGAGTACTTATATAGTTTTAGAGTATTTGAACAGTTCTCCCAATTCTTTGTTGAAGAAATGGATCTTAGTATTGTCTTTTTATTTACTTATTATTCAACATTCATTTGATTGATAGGTAGAGATTTGAAGTTACAATTTGTTTCTGAAGTAAAGCATAAAGCATTTTAGGTTTTATGGGAATGAACTGTGTTAGCAAAGGCTCATTGATTCATTTATAGCTAGTGAATCAATTGATGAATGTGGTATTTAGAATATCTGCATGATAAAATATTTGAAAAGTTATAATTTAGCTTTAAAATCTAATTTAGACCCTAATCTTTCTTTTTTATTCTATATTTCTTTTTCTCTGTTTTAAGTGTAAGCGAATAACCGTGCTAAGTACTATTTTTATCTAAGGTTTCACAATTTAAGAGTTTTTGACGGTAATGTATCAATCTCCACTATTAGTCCTCGCTCTCCAATCTCGTTGAGTCCTTGATAAGATTGGTGAATGAGTCCTTGATAAGATTGGTGAATGATGCACGCAAGTATGATGGTATTGCATCATATATATCTTTTTAAATAAAAGTTTTGAAGGTTAAGTTAGGCAGCATTTGGTTGAGAATATATATCTTGACCGTTGAGCTAGTTCAAGTTGGTTTTTTTTCTCTATATATAATTAAAATATTTATTCACCTCTTACATTGCTCTAAACTCCTTAATCATATAAAAATATTGATGATCGACATTTGAATGGAAATTCAAGTAGTCCTCTAGGACTTGTTTTGTAATCGTTCTTAAATGCATGAGCATTTGTATTTCATTTTTTATTATAAGAAACGTGGAACTTTGGAAACAACCAAATAAAGTTTATTGTTTATTATACATTGTTCATGTTTTTAATTTTTGACCTATCAAAATCATAACAAATATATAAAAATAAATAATTCTAACATAGAAGTTTCAAATATTTATTTTGAAAAATTAATGTCATGATAAAATATCAGTAAACAATTATTAATATTACATTAGGAATTAATAATTTTCATGTGTTTTCTAGTCCAAGATGTTATGTTTTTCGACATCAAATATTGTAAGTGGGATTAGTTGAGGTGCACGCTAGTTGACATGGACATTGACGGATATAAAAACAATAATAATAGATAAAATAAATAATTACTAAATGTAATTTTATTTTTTCTCGATCGAAGAAGACAAACCTAAAAGCAATAAACAAAGAATTCCAAATAGGCACTTTGCATTTAATGGATAATTATGGTCAAAAAAAATGGGATAAATATTTATATACCCGGTAACAAATGGAGAAGAAAAGCACAAACAGACAGTTCGTTACTGATTTTAATTTGTATTAAATTAACATTTTCGAAGCGAAGGACAAATGAGCGATTGGCGGGCCGCCAAAAGAAAAAGAAAAAGTCGACGATCCAAAGCTTCATCGCCTGTAATTGAATCAATCCAACCAAATTTGCGGCTAATCAGATTCTCTCGCTTCCTAGTGATCGCAGCAGTCGAAGAAAATGGCGAGCTTCCGCTTCTTGTTCAGTAATGGCGTCGTGTTGCAAGGCTCCGAAGTTCCTCCAGTCGCTACCTTCCTCGAAACTCATCCTGGTAAACAAACATGTATCACTCTTTTCGGTAATCTTATTTTAGCCGTCTTCTGATTAGTGAAACTCAAAAGCAGCGTTTGGATTCCGGGGAAGTTTTTCGTAATTTAAAATCCATATGAAATCAAGTGTACTGGTATTCGACTCTTTGTTTTGGAGTGAAATCGTTCGGCTAAGCGATTTGATTATTTGAAAAAAAAAAACTGAGGGAGATTCCTGTGTTTGGAATAATAGTGTTTCGCTGCTGATTGACTGTCGATTTCAATTATTTCAGGCGCTTATACCACTACTCGGTCCCATAACAATGCGTCGAGCATTCTGTTCTGGGACAGGCACATGAAAAGGCTCACTCAATCAGTTAAAATTCTGTCGAATTCGACTCCACGACTCTTGTCTGAATCGAACAAAACGACTGCTAATCCGGTATTACAGTCGTCGATCGATTCCATTCCTTGGGAACCAGCTATTCGGACGCTTGTCGATGATTCTATGAGAGAAGTGTTGCCGGTAGCGTTGAAGGAGAGGAATGAGGGAGAAGAATTGACAATTACAGCACTAGTTAGTGTGAATTTGGAAAAATTTGGTGAAAGTGACGGCGTAGTGGATGTAGAGAAAGTTAAAGAGGTTCTTGATGTGCACGTGCATGTCGGTAACTACGTCCCTCGTGAATTTGGGATCCCGGAAAATGGTGCAAATCTGGCCGTGGTGGGCCAAGGGAGGGAATTCGCTGAGGCGAAGTACTCCGATTGGGTTAGGTGAGAATGCATAGCTTTGATTTGTATGGATTGAACGTAGTCCTCTACTCTGTTACCTTGGAAGTAATGGGAGGGCAAGAACCATTCATGGTTTGATTCAAATGGTCAAGAAGATCAAAATTAGTGGTTCGAATGTAAAGCAATTAGTTTCCTTGGAACATGAAGTATGAATAATTTAAGCTATTATGTTGACTTGGTTTCTCCAAGGCTATTACATTCTAACTTTATTGTTGTAATGTTCTTTGTGAATTTATATTAGGCGTAGGAAGTCTCTGGAAAAATTGAGGCCTCCTTCTGTGACTGAGCTTCTGTTGTCAAACGATGGTGATCAGATACTTGAAGGCTGCCTGACAAACTTTTTTGTTGTTTGCCGCAAGGTGAGTACTGAGTGGGCATAAAATTCAAAGCTGAAATCCCTCAGTAAGACTAAAATTGTTTATGTTTGTGCATATTGGCAATTTATCTTTTCCCCTGAAATTTTATGAGCATAATGCATTCAAGGTGTTTACACTTTACAGGTTGATAACGAAGATAAGAATAAGAGAGTTCTTGATTTCACAAGTACAAATTCCTTTGAACTGCAGACAGCTCCCATTAGGGACGGTGTTCTGACTGGGGTTATTCGCCAAGTAGTCAAAGAGTATGTTCCTACCCATTTTAGACCTTCATGTTATCGTTTCTGTCCTATCATAGTATCTTGGATCTTCATTTTCTTGTTTCTAAAAAGTAGTTCTTTGAGAAAGTATCAGCTACAGAATAGGTTTAGCTCTTTTTGATGTTATGCACATGAAATTATTGTTTAAAGTTTTAGCGTGTGCCAATTAGTTGAACATGTTAGGTTGTCAACTCATTCTGAGTTCTAATGTATCTAACCATCGTTTGGGCAACTAAGGCCTCGCAAACAAGTGTTCAACTTGTAATATTTGCAGCCATCGAAGAAACAAGGGCTTTATTTAAGAAATTGTTTAAAGAAATAGGCATCCAACGTTTTTTTTTTATAAAAGGAATCAGAAACTCATGCACCTGAGGTGCCAAGCACGTGCTAGCATCAGGTGCGTGTCTTTACAAAGGTTGGCCTTGCCCCATACCTTCGGTGAAGGGCACCTAGGCATGCTCTTTTAATCAGTGGGCAACCTTTACTTCCAGGATTTTCAAAATTAGTCCTATTTGCAAAATTACATAATTTGGTATGGGAAAAAATGGACACACGATGTCATTGAAGATAATTTCCAGAAGCAAAAATCCCTGTAAAAGTAAAACTATGGGTTACAATCATACAAAACTCTAGCGCTGCAGGAATTTGTTTCACTGATTTGAAGATGTGAACATATATAACCTACCAAAACTCTTGTCACATGTTACTGGCTAGTGCACTGTACTTATCTAGTTCATGTTTTTCTTCTCTTTTCCTTTTCCAATTATAAGTATGTGCATTTGAACTTCATGGTTGATGCGTATTTTATACAATGCCATATGCCAATACCAAATATACTTCGAAAAAGTTTCATTATTTGATATTATGGAAACTGAACATTGATGAGTGCACAACTTATTTAATCAAAGAATATTGGTCATATATTCTTCTCTCTTTCTGTTTTTTAGTTTTTTTCTTCTGTTCGTGTTCATATTTCTTTTCTTCTTCCTTTTTTTCCTTTTATTTTCCATGTTCCCTCTTGTGCATAGTGATTAGAATCGTGAGACACCAGTGGTCTAATAATACTTGTTATGTTAGAATGCATGTGTTCCTTTTGTCATATTTTCAGAACCCATAAGTTTTAACTGGTATTTTTCAGAGCTTGTTTAAGTAATGGCATTCCATTTCGAGAAGTTGCACCTACTTGGTCAAGTAATGAAATCTGGGAAGAAGCATTTGTTACAAGTAACTTGTTTTCTCTCTTGGCTTTACTTGCATCCGCTCTTTTGGCTTTGTAAGTAGTAATTTTCTTCTTATAGAGGTATGCATTGGGATAATAAGGTTTTGTTTACTAAGTTTATTCGCCTCTTCATTGAGATCTTTATTTTAGTGACTATAAAGTTACTTTATTCTGTCTTTTCGGTGGGATGTTAATGCAGTAACGAGTAAACTTTAATTCTTATGCTTAAATGTAACCATCATCGTTTATGATACTGGGTCAGCTTTTCTTTTAGCTACTACCACTTCCTTATTAGCTAACTATTAGTTTGCTAGTCCAACTATTTTTACTGTTATAACAGGATACAGCTAACAATCCACATCAACTCCCTCCCACCCAAAACAATCCACCTTGCCCTCAAGTCAGGCTTATTTCATCAGTTGGTTTATATTCAAATAGATTTGCCACTTTTTCTTATTATAAACATAAACTCACTGATGAAAATTCACTAAGGCAAGGGGATACTTGTATATATCCCTCGTTTGATTCAATCCAAACACTGTTTGAGGAGTGTTTAGGTCCCACAGGCATCAAATTTAATTGCCTAAGCTTGTGTATTTTACTTGTATGTGACCATTCCTTAGTAAATATTTTGTGGTACTAAAACATGAGGCAATATCAAATTTCTTCTATCAAGTCCTCCAGAAATCTCTGAAGAATTCAACATTTCTATCCTGGACAATTGTTTTTGGCATGCCTGCAACCTAGCTATAATAGATGTACTGTACTATTGGAAAATGATTAATTTCATTTTTAAAGATTAAGACAGCCATGCTGAACTTCTGAACTATGTTTTACTTTTGCAACTGACCTTATATTAAGTAAATAGGTTAAGAGTGAAAAGGAGGTGGAGTATTTTCAAAAAGAAAATGAGTAATGGTAATGAACATTATATGGTAAATGTTAGAGCTCTTTTGGTTTACAATTTTTCTGGATAATACAAATGGATCTGGAAATTTCTGGACAGAACTCATGATTGCTTCAGCTTCTCTCTATTCATTTATGCACTTTCTTCTAAAGATCCATCCATTGTTTCTCTTGCAACAACTCCAACATCACCATTCCACATTTTCATTTGAACTGTAGAAGCATCTATATATCTGTAGAATATGTGCAGTTTTGCTTCATATACTGAAGGGGGGAATCTTGTTTGACAGATAGCTTGAGAATCTTGGAGCACGTGAAAGCCATGTGCATTCCTGGCACGTGGGACTTGCTCGACTCGAAGACATGGAGCGATATACCGTGGAATAAGAAGTCGTTTAAGGTGCGTAAAAGTTCATTTTCTTTGAAAACAAACTTCCATTTCTATAGCTTTGAGTAATATGCTTTCACTTTATTCTTGATTGAAATCTTCTGTGATTAATATAGGATACTCCTGGAATGATCACAAGCGCAATCCAGGTAAAAAAATTTGCTTCCTTGTTATAAATTTTCAGGTGCCTATTCGGGGATTTTGGCCTCGGTTTTGCAAACATAACCCGTGAGCCAAACGCTCCCTTTTATTCTGTTGAAATGAGCTACAGAGAATTTTTCTGATTGTTTTTGGAGCAGAAAGAGATAATGGAGAGAGCTGTTGCTGAAGGATTACCGATCGATTACTTCATATAAAAGGTGCCATGATCAACTCTTGTAGATATTTTTTTTGCTTTTTTTTTTTTACAAACTCTGTCTTTTTTATAAAGAATATATGTTTTAACAAATTGAGCTATACTTATACCTAGATTAAAATACGGTGAATTATCTGCATTTTAGTTTAGTTATATGTTTGTAAATTGTAAATAAAATTATCTACAAATTAAGAGCTGGAATTAGGACTTGGGAAAAAACAGACAGTAAAATAATGTTTGGATTTATGCATCTCTGTTTAGCATCCTACAATTAGCTTTATTTTGACCATTATTTATCGGGTTTAAATCTTGTTTCTCTAAATTTTCGTACTGTGTTATTTTATTTTGTCCTAATATTTTTCAGTGTTTCATTTTAGGTTGTTTAATGTTCTGTTTTAATCATTAAACTTTACACTAAAAAAATATATTAGTCCTTAATCTATTAGAAATCTAATACTTAATCTACTAGAATTCAAAAAAGCCAACTTAACACAACTTAACTAATTAAAGTGAAAAATAATAATAACAAGACTTTAAATATTTATCAATTAAGTGAATAACAAAAAATATGATGATAAATAATTTAATAAGGAAAGTTAAGGGCAAACACTTAAAAATTAATGTGTATGATTTGAGGACTAAAATAAAACATTGAAGAGTTTAATACCAAATTCAAATAAAATGAAATTTTAGATGGTCATCATAGGTTTGCGGTTAGGCCAATAACAAAGTTCTTATTCAAACTATGATAACTAACTTACCTAGAATTTAATATCCTAAAAATAAATTTGGGACCATAATTTAATTTAAATCTTATTTCTACTAGGATTTTATGAAAATTATATTTTTAGATGGATTGTTAAGGTACCTTTTTCAAAAAATAGTAATCTTTTTTAATACAACACCATGTATAATAAGGATTCGGACTCACAATATTCTAGTTGTGTCTTGACCAAGCTTATATTGGTTGACAAATAGTAATTTAAGTTCATTTCAATTGTCAATTTAAGCAAAGTCTAATTAGTTAAAAGTTAAAACATTAATAACCTCTCCGATCGAAAGTTTGAATTCTCTATCACATTGTAATACTATATTCTTTTAAAAATTCACGCTGACCAATAAATTTATTAAATATGCACAATTTTTTAACTATATTATCTTTATTTATAATTCAATATCGTAAATATTTCTTTAAATGTTTTTAATGGTTACAAAGGAGGAAAAAAAAACTAAAAACAAAAATCATGCACTTTTTTTAAGAGTATTGCACATCATAAATGAGCGATGAAAATTCAAATTTACCATCATCCAAAGAAGGTATACATGTTTTAACTACTAAGTGGTTCAAGTAAAAGACAATTAATATAAATTGAGAATGATTTTTTTTTTTTTCCTTTTGAGTTAAACACGTGGAGGTGGGATCAAACAACTTATTTATTAAGAATATATGTTTTAACTAATTGAGTTATTTTTTGATTGACAAAATAAAATAATAATTTATTAAATTATATGTTATTAATAATTTTATATCATCTTTGCTTAATAAATTAATTTCGTCGAATTCATTATATTTTGGCAACTTTATACTGATTTTAATAAATAAATTACCATTTCATATATAAAAAAAAGTTACCATTAAGTTATAATGAAATAAAATTAGATTTCATGACTAAAATTCTTTTAAAAAGAATAAACATTCACACGATTCTGAAAACTAAATAGACAATTATGACGAACAAATACATTTTATATTATGTGAAAATAAAAAGTTTAAATTCTCTAATTAAGACATTGGTAATATTTTCTAATTCTCTCTATTACTGGAAAGGTTGTAATCTTCAACGTTAGGAATGCTATATACTTTAGGAAAAAAAATGTATATGAAATATTTAATAATTATTCCCCTCAAACAATATTCAGTATCCAAAAAACAAAAATTAGTTTAAGAAAGAAAAAAAAATCAAAACTTTCCACGATTAGTAAAAAGTGGAGCCAACTTCTGCCAAAAAGAAGAAGAGAAAAAAGAAAAAAAGAATTATAGAAATAAAAAGCTTATTTCCCTTCTTCTCTCTCTGTGCTTCCTTCTCCAGCGTCCGATTTATACATTTTCTCTTAAAAACAATTCCACCAATCCAATCTCTTCTCTCTCCCAACGCGCGCCAAATACAAATTCTGCTGTTGTCTGTTTCCCTCTTTTCTTTCAGGTACCCTCTTTCCATTTTCTCTCAATTCTCTTCCATTCCAGGCTTAGGGTTCCACGTATGGTTTTTTCCCCGATGTTTTATGGCTTTTTTTTTGGTGGGTTTCTGTGTTTTCAGTGATTCAGGATCTCGCTCACATGGCGGAGGCTCCGACGAGTCCAGCCGGCGGCAGCCACGAGAGCGGCGGCGAGCAGAGCCCCAATACCGGTGGGGTTCGGGAGCAGGACCGATACCTCCCGATCGCTAACATTAGCCGGATCATGAAGAAGGCCTTGCCCGCTAATGGCAAGATCGCCAAGGACGCCAAGGACACCGTCCAGGAATGCGTCTCCGAATTCATCAGCTTCATCACTAGCGAGTGCGTCCGTCTTTGATCTCTCTTCTTTCGTATTCGGATCGTGAATTTTAGTGTCAATTCTGGTGTTAGTTTACGATTGGCGTTTCTGATACGGCAAAGGCAAATTTTTTTTTTATTGTGTATTGGATGTAATTGGTTTTGTGCGTGTGTAGGGCGAGCGATAAGTGCCAGAAGGAGAAGAGAAAGACCATTAATGGGGATGATTTGCTGTGGGCAATGGCGACATTGGGTTTCGAGGACTATATTGATCCGCTTAAGTCGTATCTAACTAGGTACAGAGAGGTAAGCTCGTTTCCCATTTTTAGCTCCTACGTGGTTTTACATTTAGAAGACTATGCACGCACGTTACTGATGCTGATACGAGCTCTCCTCTCACGTTCTTTTACTTATTGTGATTGAGATTTGAGAGCACTTCAGTTGGTGATCAAGTGGTAAAGACTTTCCTCGGTTGATCAGTAGATGCCTAGTTCTGTTTCTTTTCAATAAGGCTATATGATTTATTTGATCTCATCACTATGATGTGCTCACATTCGTTTTCTTTTTTCCATTTTTTTTCACTTTTTTTGGTGGGGGCAATGGTGTTGCTTCAGTTGGAGGTAATTGAAACCAGCTCTTAAACCTAGTATTCTACTGGTTTATTGTACCCCCCCACCCCCCCATACCCTAAGCTTCATTTGGGAGAAAATTATAGACTGAGACTTTTCGTTAATTATAAACTTTTACAGTGTGATGCTAAGGGATCTTCTAGGGGTGGTGATGAGTCTGCTAAAAGAGATGCAGTTGGGGCCTTGCCTGGCCAAAATTCCCAGGTTTAGTTACTTTCCATAGAATCTTGGTTTACAGAGAAATTCTATTTATTTTCATGGCCACAAGAATTGGAATTTTCTTTATATATTATGTAATCGTATCTTAAATTTTAGCATGAATATGTGCAGCAGTACATGCAGCCGGGAGCAATGACCTACATTAACACCCAAGTAATAATCTCTCTTCTCCCAACTTGTCAGCATGATGTTCAGGAATACCCTCCTTTTTATTGCTAGTAATTGGATTGAAATTTGTGGTTATTTTTCACTTTTTATTATTACAATTATTGTCTTTAATTGTTGAATGTTGCTTAGGAGATGGACCCATTTCTTCGCTTCCCCTCAGACTTTTAATGTTTTTAAGAAAAAGTGGAATCAAAAAAAAAAAAATATATATATATATATATATAAGTAAAATTTCTACACATTTTTTCTCGGAGGAATTTCTAGACATACTTTTCATCTGTACACCTTGCATAAGATTGTCTGAGATCTTTGGTGCTCTGCTGGTGCTGGCAAGATTTTGATATTCTTTTTTCCATCGAAACTTGAAATTCCATTATTGGTAGAGATGTAAATATCTCTATAGCACCTCCTTGTCCTAGTAATTTTCATAGCCCCTTTCCTACCTATTTGATTTTAAATGCTCCGTGAATCAGAAGGAACTTTTAATGAAGAATGGAAAAAGTGTTCTAACATCTCTTTAATGTGATACTGATATTTATTAGTCTTTTTTCTTTCTTTCTTTTTTAAAGAATGCTTAAATATTACTTTTCATCCTGTCCTAGTGTACTGTTTTTCCTGCTACTTGTCATATTAGGGAGGGGAGGATATGCATATTTACCTGTAACGTTGATTCATTGCAGTCTCTTAAATAGAAAACTAATTTTCGATTGTACCATTCTCCTTAATACTTGTCCTAATGTAGGAGGATATGCCTGTTTACGATAGATTTGAAATTGTTATAAAGTAAGGATGCAAGATATTTTTCCCTGTAGTTGGTCATTTTATAATTTTTTCTTTAGGCAAGGACATTATATCTTTTATTAAGGCCATGAGGATTTTGATATTATGGCGGTGGTGTCACTTTGATTCTGTAATGATGGTAAAATGGATAGTTTTGAATAATTTGGCATTGGTGTTTTTGTTTTATTTTGTTAATAAAATTTGACTTTCAATTTAGCAAAACAAAAATACAAACAGAATATGGGTTAAAACAGTCAGAGGGATTATATTATATCCCCTAAATTCATTCCAAATATATCAATAGAACTATTCAAAAGAACTCCAATTATAAGTAACCGACCAAGTATTAGTAATCATGAATAGTTGAATGTTATAAGACTTCAAATAGAGGCTTATAAGGTGGACAAACTATTACAAGTGGTTACGAGTACCACAATGTGGTTGTTACTCACATGATCATCAGATGCATGGTCTAAAAACATATTTTTGATCTCTCAATAATGCTTCAGATGATCTTGGGAATGGTAACTTGAACTCCTATCAACCTAGAGTCCTCCCTTTCCCCATGAAAGCAAGGGCTCCCCATTAAGTCGTCCAAACATCCAGTCTTACAGGCTATATTTGGGCACAAGACTACAAGGGATTGAAAAATAAACCCTTAGCTTAATTATTATTAAGTGAAGAAGGCTTTCCTTTGTATCATTTAAATTGTGACAGGCTAGATTCCTAAAATGAACTGTGCCTCTAGAACCAGTCTTATGGAACTTTTCTTTCCTTATCCACTTTTTTACCTTTAACGAAGGAGTCAAATAACTTGCTCGGTTAATCAATTTTTAATTTGTTCTCTCATGGATGCAGAGATTATGAATTTATGATGGCATAATCCGCCTTTGCTAACTTTGAGCATGGTGGTTCGAAAAACCAGGGTATTCTAAAGGTTACAAGTAAAAATCTTCATCGTTCCGCTAATATGAAGACAGATGTCTTATGAGTTCCCTTGTTTTGGTACTATAAATTATTGGGTCAACAGTAGACTCTTGTTAAAAAAGGCGGAAGTTTGTAGATTGTCAGTATCAAAATGGGTTAGAATGGAAAGAATTGGCTAAATACGGAAATTAAGCGGGCTTTGATTCCTAGCTTTCTAATGTAACATCTAATCTCCGACAAGATCTTTGAAATTGAGTGTCATGAAGTAGAGTTTTATTTGATCTGAGATCTATAGCTTTCCTGACCCTCTGTTGTGGATCAAAAAGTTGCCTTTACACTAGTAGTATGTAACTATGAAATGTGCTTTGCTGGTTTTAGTTACTAGAGTGAATTCTGTATGCAGTTGAGGTGTCTACCTGAAGGTAACTCAAATGTTTATTTTAACTTGGCTGCTCAATTTTTTGCTTATTGATACATTACACAATTTACATTATGAGCAATAAACAGTATGGCTTTTATTATCAGGTTGTATCTCAAATTCACTCTTTCCCCCCTCCTAAAAATGTATGGAAAAAATTGCTGTGTCCTGCTCATATTGTATGGTCTTTTTGACATCAATTAAGTTTTGAAAAAGACATGTTTTGTTTTAGGAGAATCTGATGAATGGTCTTAGACAGTCTCAGACTAAGATAATGTTTTCATTCATACATGTGCGCGTGCATGTATGTATATACACATTACAAGTTTAAGAAAAATCTAATGTTTTGTAGAGGTTAGAGTGGGATGTTTGGTTGACTCGGTGATTTTCCAACGTCCTGTGTTTTTGCAGGGACAGCATTTGATCATTCCTTCAATGCAGAATAATGAATAGGAGACTCCTGCATTCCCTCTTGGATTGTCTGAAATCTGAGGCTGGTAGAAGCGTTCAACACCTATATAGCATCTTTACAATCGATTTGGCTAATTTATTATGAAATGATGATATTATATATATTTCTGGGGTTTCTGTGTTGGTTCTGGATTTGATTTTGGTTTGGGCTTTTAAGGTGGGCTTCGATTTTATTGATGCTCTCGTCATCTAAAGTTATTGTAAATTTGGGACCTTCAATTTAGTATAGTTGCTTTGGTAATTTGGAAACTGGAAATATTATTCTCTTTCCCACTTCTGTTTCTTTTGATGACACTGGTTTTGAATGATTAAGAAAGTGATACACCTTTTTCTCATGGCCTTTCTCTCTTCTCTCTCTTAAAGAACACATTTCATAATGCCTATTTATTCTGTTGGTTGATTTTTCATCAGAGTGCTTTACTAAAAATCTGACTGCAGGCCAACTGTAAGTTTCTTTGACTTAGTGGGAGAGACAAGGCGTTCTGGGCACTGCAATCTCTTTACAAGCAAATATGAAAGAAAGGAAAACAAACCAATCAAAGCAGCTCAGTAGCCCTCCATCCTTATAAGGATTTTGGTGAGATCATATTATGCTTCAGTTCTTCTAAGATTAGCTTTAATTTGATTATTTTGGTTCAACATGCTTCTTAAACTAGTTTGTTTATGATTCCCATCATTTCTACCAGATATTTTGACCACAACAATGTTAAATAGTAGCTTACATATTGGATTGGGGTAAAGAAAATTCATTGGATATGTGATTTTTGTTCCTTTTTAGTATAGTTTAGTTGAAAACCATTAAAATAACATATTGAACTGAGTGAGAGTGAGATATTTGAGCCATTTTCTGAAAGCTGAAGGATGTTATAACTCTGTGAATGAATTATTTTTTATCTGGAACTGGAAGCAATAGCATGGTTATTATTATTTGTACAAGAAGAAGCAGGAGCACGTGGTGGACATACGCCACCAAGCTAGAAGTCACGTTCCTTCCACGTGATATGAGATCAAAACACAACTAGACTGGTCAGAGGAACATTACAGTGGTACCCTTCTATCTCTCTCTATCTCTCCTCTTTTTTTGTTTCTCTCTCTTCTCTGTGTGTTTCCATTAAAACCAGTGGAGGTCTCCCATCTGTCAATCCACTTAGGTCAGCCCATTGGCCAACGCATTCCACAGACCCACTTGTTGGGTGTTTGGTACGGAATTCATGAATCCCACAGCTGTGTTTTTGGTAACCCTCTCTTCTTCCTCTCCCCAAATTACAACACTTTATGCTCTCTTTGATTTGATTTCTTTTAACCTTTCTTTTCTTCTTTGCTTCTCTCATCTCTGTCTCTCTCTCTCTCATCCCCCAATCATTACTTTCTGCCTCCTTGCTGTTCTTTTTTATTAGGTTGATCATGTTTGTGCTTCGAACTTGTTTTCAATTTGGTTTCTACGTTGTATGTTATTGTTTTCACTCTTCACTCTTCACTCTTCACTCTTCGGTTGAATCTTAATAATGCTTCCATCATTAGTGAGGAGTAGAAACTTAAACGTGACAAGTTGTTTGTAGATGTGATGTGATCTTTTGTGTGGATATTGGTTGCAAAACATGAGCTCAAGTCGAGTTTTAAGGCATTACTTTGAGTGAAAAGGAAGGCAGGTAGGCAGATGAGAGTTAATCTGGTTCTAGAGTTTAAAATTATTTGTTAGGTTGAACTTGTGTTGCTGTTTGTTTATCAGCCAGATGATGTAAATGATAATGAAAATTTGAAAAGTTTTGGGAAATTTTATCTTTGGTTTCTTGTAATTGGTTTTGGGAAACAATTGGGTAAAACTATACTTCAATCCACTTCCTACTTACCACATGCTAGATGCTATATTGTATTTTAAATAAAAGTTGCATCCTTTTTTTAAAATCATAATGTTTTATTTAATGTTACAAAAGAAGCCAATGTCAAAAATTAATTTGAAACTCCTACTTCCAAGCACCTTGCTAAATTATTCCTTCAAAAGCAAACTTATTTACTGCTACATCCACACCATCTAATAAGATTCATAGTTTGTTATAAATCATTGATTCTCTCTCTCTTTTAACGACAATACAGAGAGGAATTTCAACCCAAAATTTTTTATTGATCTTTGTCAGTAGATGAGGTTGTACTAGAGAATAATCAATATATATATATATATATAATTTAACACTGATTTAATTTGTGATGAAACTTATATCAAAATGACATTTTTTTTTTGGTTTAATCAAAATTTCATGGGAAGTAAAAAGGTTGAAGAGATTCTATCAATGAGTTACTACTTATAGAAGATGGATTTTGTTTCAAAGTTTAGCCATAACTTGAAAAATTAAGATTCTTGTTTTCTATTTTTGAAAATTAAGCCTATATTTTCCAAATCTAAATCAAAATTTGAGATCTAAAAGGAGTAGTTCCAAAATCTTATTTTTGTTTTTAAAATTCAGCTTCATTTCGTGTAGTGATAATAATCTCTCTTTTATAGAATTCAAATGTGTTTTAAAGAAAGGTAAAAAATATAATAAAGAAATTGTGAGAAAACAATCATAATTTTTAAAAACATAAAAACTAAAAATAAAATCTTTATCAAACAGGGTTTAAACAAGATAATTTTTGGACGCGGGTTGGAGGAAAATATCCATCTTTGATGATGTTTTTTCTAACCTGTGACATACATTTTTATCTTTAATTATTTTCAATTCCTTTGCTATAAATAAAATAACTCCCAAAAGATACCTCTGGTCTTAAAAGGTGACTGACCAAACATGCTAATCAAGCCATTAATTATTCAAACAAAAAAAAATGGGTGAGTAAAAAAGAAAGTGAGAAGGCAAAAGCAGCCAAGTTGAAGTATTGTATGATATTCTTGGCAAAAGCACAACCAATTCTAAAATCATTCAAAGAAAACATTTAACAGCGAAAGGTTGCAGTTTGGAAGTTAGCAAATACCGAAGAGAGAGAGAAAATTAAATCTATAATAAAAAATAATACTCAGCAATTTGTGAGTAACATCCATCCGTTGAGGCTGCTGCTATTAAAAATTTTTACAAGTAAAAATGAGAAAGGTATAAAAAGAAATATTTTATCTATTTTTATATAATAAAGAGGCTGTCAAATTTTTAGCGGTGGTTTATAGATCAGCACCTAAATATTGTTCTTAAATAGACATTTTTTTTTACATTCTTTTCCTTTAAAAAAAAATAAATAGGTAATAGTTGTAAATCATACTTTCAAAATGTAAGTAATTTAGATACAACTTGTAATTTAGTATTTAGGAAGAAATTCTAAAAATAAATAGTTGTATCTATTTTTTGAAACCGTTTTCAAAATGTAAGACAACTTTTAAACACTTAAAAAATGTAGTCTTAAAATTTTTTTATTTTTGAAATTTGACTAAGAGTCCAAACGTATTATTTTATAAACGTGATAATATATTGAAAAAATGATGAGAGAACAAGCCTGAATTTCAAAAACATATAATTAAAACGGAATGGTTATCAATTTAGAAAAAAATATTTTAAATTAAAAGAAATAAAAAGGTGAAATAATATATTAATTGGGAAATAGATGGAGGGGTTAGAGAAGGGAACGTGTAGGGCACTGGGTGATGCATGGCCTCCCATAGGGCTCTTCTTTTTGCTGGTCAAAAGTACCCCCGGCAATTGAAATTACCAAAATGCCCCTCCTGCTCTCTTACAGCTGGCCACGTTGCCCCATGCCATGCCCCCGAGAGAAAGCTGACTGTGCATGCCACGTGACGCCGGTCACGTGCCTTGTTATAATTGAGTTCTAGAGAGAGAAAAAAAATGAGTACAAGACATCCACGCCCCCCTGCTGGGCTGCCCCCTGCCCCCTGCCCCTGCCCGTATCTTTGTAGNCTTCTAATTTCGACTTTTGTCTATTTTAATCTTTATATTTTTTAAACGTCTATTTTTATATTATACTTTTTAAATTTTATTTAAGAGCACAATGACTAAAGCATAGTTTATCAGTGTAATCAATATAGCATGGATGTTAACGTTTAATTTAATAGAATAGAAATTGAAAGTTCGGGACATTGGGACGAGGGAAGAAAATTAGGAGATTTAAGAAAATGATAATAAGTTATTATTAGATTACAAACACAAAAAGTTAATAGCTGTCAAATTTGTATTAGTAATCAACGTGAATATATTTCTATTAACTGCTAGGAGGTGAGTATTATTATTCTTTGGAAGAATTGGTTCGAATGTCATGATGGCAAGACCGCTTAGGTAAAATATTAAAAGTAGTTCTTTAAATATCTGCATATCTGAGTCATTCAACTAGTTAAAGCATATATCACCAACTGAAAGTTTGTGTATTTGAAATACCACTCCCACATGCTTCATACCAAAAATAAATAAATAAATAAAATAAAATGTAGATTTAGGTAGTTAGAGGTATAACCAAGGTTTTAAATGTCGATTTCGATGAAAATATCGAAGTTTCAATTTCATCGAAATATTGATGAAAATATCGATAAAATGTAGATGTCAATTGATATTTCTGTAAAAGTTATAGAAATTAAAAAATCGTAAAAAATATTTAAATTAACAAATAAATATTTTCATTTTTCTAAATAAGTTAAAAAAGAATTAATATTGATATTATGTATATATTAGTGAGATTTGGTTGATATTTTTCATATTTTGTCGATTTTTTGTACTATGATGAAAATGTCAATTTATCCCTCATGTCGATGTCGAACCCATAAAAATATGGACATGTCGATAGAAATATCGATATGTCGACTGATATTTAGAACCATGGATATAATTGAAACTTTTTAAAAGTTTAGAGTAATAGATACTGTTAAATTCACTAACTAAATTTGTAATTTAACTGTACTTTTTTCCTTTTTGGTGTTGAATTTATATATTGATCTGTTAATATCATTGAAACTAAAATTTATTTTTTAATTTCTTTCTTCTGTTCAGAAAATCAATTTTTTAGTCTTTAATAAAAAGGATGGTATTGTCAAAACAATGTTTCTACTTTTTAAAATAAAGCTTAAGTGAACATTTCTGGCATGACTTTTAAATTTTTATTTTGTCATGAATTTCATTTAGCTTTGTTTTCACTATTGATCTATTTTAATTTTTAAAATAATACAAATTAGTTATTGTCATTGACTTATCAACAAATAGTTTATTTCAGACAAAATTATAATCTTAACCTTTAGAAATCATTCAACTATATAGATTTTTGAAACAATATAGTGAGAAACAAAATATGGTATTATTATATAGGAACAAGTTTAAAAGATCCAAATATTGTATTTGATTTATGAATTTATTAAAAGAAAAAATATATATAGTCTAGTTTAAGAGGCAAAGTTCAAAAGTCAAAGATTAAAAAAAACATAAGTTAAGATTTCCCTCAAATTTAAGGTCTATTTCTCAATCTAGAACTACACCGATCCAACTCGTGTCAAAGATTGGGGAGGGGATTTGAACTCTCAACCTCTTGGTTTAAGCTACATGTCAATTACGGTTGAGCAAGGTTCATTTTGGTAACTTTTCACTATTTATTTTACTATGTTCAATAAATATATGAATATACCTCCGACCTCTAGAAGGAAATAACAATGTATTAATCGTTGAACTAAGCTCATGTTGGTAAACGATAAAATTAAAAGTTTAAAATTATTAAATTGTTGTGTGAAAATTAAATTTTTGAGGGGAAAAAAAAGAAATCTAAGTGTTGAAATGTGAAACACAAAAAATCAAACATAAATTAGCTCAAATTTTGGGGGCTAAAAAGTCAAAATATTTTTTTCCCTGTAAATTTGTTGTCTGTTCACCTTCCATTGCGCCTACATCTGCTCCCCAAACTTACAAAGAAATTAGAATCTCATGGAAATTAATTTATATATTTTATTTGATTTTGGGATTCAGTTTTACATAAATACAATTTCCGTTTTTTCTTTGTCAATTGAACAAATTTTCGAAAAGATAATTACTAGATTCACGTGTAAATTTTAATAGGTTAAAATATTATTTTATCACTACTTTTCGAGACTCATTTTATTTTAGTCTCTTTATTTTCCATAAATCTTACGATGAGTCCTTATCATTAATTTAAAAATGATTTTTATATAATTAAGCAAAAAAAATTAATTCATTACAAATTTACTTCAAGGAAAGAATAGGTTTCCTAACTTTAATAAAAAAAAAAAATCTAACATAAGCTAGTTTTTTAAGAATAATTAACCATAAACTAATGGTGTTTAATTTTAAGATTTATTAAAAATAGAGGAATTAAATTTTGACATCTTACACTAAGAGAACTCACGACTCATGGTTAGAGATATATACCAATTACCGTTGAGCTATGCTTACTTTATGTCACGTTCTAAGCGTTATTGTGCTTGAACAAAGATTATTGGTGTGATTATTAATTTTCTGTTAGAATTTTATTTATTTATTATTATTATTTTTTTGGTTGGACCGGAGTATTTTGCATAATTTTGTTGTATTCTATTTAAGTTGAGTATTCAATTCGATAAACTAAAACTACAAAATAAAAAATAAAAAATATTGAAATTTACTAGTTGTAATAAAGTGGTATATTTCATGTATAATAAGTTTTTGTTATTTTTAATAATGGAGATACATTGGAGTTCAACGTTTACTTGAATAGTTAAAAATAATGTTTCTAAAATTGAAATTTGAATATTAAATTTTTATAAAATAGAAAAAAAAAAGTAGTTTGAAAATTAAAAAATATATAGTTTCGTTTCATTTTCCTTATATGTATTTTTACCATTGTTCCAATCAAATTATCTGGACTGTTTACAAATTGTTTGGGGCTTGAAATGTCTGAAAATATCTTTCTTTCAAATATAATCATTTTTAAATTAAAAAAATTTATCTTTTTTTTTTCAAATGTCCAATTGAATATCTTTTAAATCACATGATTGTAAAAAACATAATAATAATAAAAAATTAAAATTTGAGCTACCGGTTTTTTTTTCCGATTAAAGCTTCCGGCTTTTTTTTCGTTTTCTTTTTTAACTTACATATATATATATATTACAAATATTTTATAATATTTGGTCTCAATTGTGCTAGATTTATATTTAGCCTTAAAAGATTCATGAAAGCTTGTGTTTATGTAGTTCTTTTATATTAAATATATATGACAGTTTATGCATATAGAAATCCAAAATATCCAAAATGTAAGTTTTTTTTGTGTACAACAAGTAGGAGTTTGAATTCGAACTCACAAACTATTGATCGGAGATAGATGTCAATAACCGCTGAGCAAAGCTCTTGTTAACCTAAGTTATAGGACTTTAAAGTAAATATACATGTTACCTAAAAAAAAGTAAATATACATACATTATAGTTGCAGATTAAAAACTCATTGGAATATTTAATACAACTTTTTACATTCATTTTATATACAATGAAAATATTTCTTAATCTAAATATAGTTTAACTGATATATATATTATTGACAAAAAGAGAATCTCTCCTCTTAATTAACGCCCAATAGCAACATTATATGAGCCTTCAAGTACGAATTAGGGTGAATTTTAGATCACTATTGAAATATTATTGAAGAAAAAAAAAGATCGCTTTTGAAACGACGAGTTTTTAGTGGAATATAGACTTTTTTTTTCAAATTTTTTTAACATTTGGTTAAGTGATTTTAAAATTTTAAAAAATAGTGAGTATTATGAGAATTTATAAGATATAATATTTTCTCTTCCAAAACACTTTTTTCAAATCTACTTTTATATTCTATCAATTAATTCAAAAACTTAAATGAGAAGCAACTTATGAATTGCATTTTTATAGAAGTTTGAGTCAAAAACGATGGGCGTTATATTCATTACATCTCTTGAAAAGTTTAATTCAAGAGCGGTTACAAATATTTCGAGGACTTATTTCTTATATTCTTTTTTCTTTTTTAATAGATTCTCATATTCTATTATAACCCATATGTGTTAAAAAAATTTATTTTGGTACTCATTATTAAATATCTACGTATTTGCAGATGTTTTCACTTTTCATATCATATTATCATCTACATTTCCATTAAATACATTACGGGTAGAATTTACTGCCTAAAATAGAAAATGGTTAAAATCAAAATTTTTACACCATACAAGCAAAATAATAATAATAATAATAATATTGGAATTTAACAGGGAAGGAAAAAAATGGAATTATATAATTTAGACGAGGGAGAAATTTGGAATTGTCCCAATGGATTAGCAATCAAGCGCGTCAATAAAGAATCGCGAAGCTGGCGGTATTTTACACGCGCTGATATCTTAAAAGGCAATAACTGTAAAGAGAGCAGCGCGTGGAGAAAAGTCGAACTACGATGTTAAACGGTCATGCTAGCACATTACTACCCGTCTGCTACCTGTATTTATTTATATATATATTTTTAAATAAAATTATGTAAACGTTACCATACCACTAAAATAATAAGACACACTGTTTTTTTTTTTTAATTTCATACGTTTTTGTTGTTTTCAATCTTTTTGTAGAATAATACATAACAAATAGGGGAGTTGAAATTAGAATCCTTCAAAGGTGATAGAAATGTCTTGATGGTTGACAATGCTAAAATTTGAAATTATATTCTAATTACAAAATATTAAAATTTGAATATAATAAATCTTTCATTAAATTAAGACAAATTGATGGTATAGAGTTTGAACCTCGAACTTCAAAAGAAGAAATATGTGTTAATTGTCGTTTTGCTCGTGTTGGATGAGAAACCTGAATTTATATAACCTAAGGTTAGAAAAAATATATATATTTTTATATATTCTGTGGATTTATGAATCGCACAATCTTCAAGGAACATTTTGGTGACTCGTTTTTTTTTCTTTAGAATTTTTTTAATACAACACGGGAATAGATATGTTTTGACCCATAAATTAGTTGGTGATTGACCATTCAAACTATGCTTAAGTCAACTTTTAGAAGTCTTTAAGTATATTTAGCTAAGTTTATATAATTTGTGAGTTGGATTAGCTTACTTGTGGCCTAATTAAGACAAATAAATTAGATTTTTTTCGATTTCAAATTATACATATCTAAACTATGAGTGAATCCCGTTAAATGACTATCATCTAAATGTCAAGGGTCATTCTTTTTTCTTTTACAATAAGATAGGATAAGATTTGTAATTTTAATATTTGATTTTCTTTTTGAGAGGCAATATTTGATCTTTAGTATATTTATATGATATACAAGTAATTCATGATCTACCTCAGCAGTAATTGGTAATTATTCCTTCACGTGAGGTACTTCATAAAATAATATAATCATACATATTCTTAAAGATCGATTGATCAATCAGGAATGTTTTTTATTTAAACTAAACAATATAAATACAAGAACGAGTATCCAAACCTTCAACCGTTCGTTCCATATATATTCATTCACTAGTTTAACTATGTTCATGTTAGCAATTTATTTTTATTAGAGCGATAGATACATTTCAATTCCTATTTATATACATACTCAATGTGTCCAAGGTATTAAAGTAGGGTAATATTTGTTGACAATTAGGTTGAGATTATTATTGATGAATTAATTAATAATTGTAATTTGTAGGTAATTAGGAAAGACATTAATTATCCAATTGGAGAATAAATAATGAGAATTAATTAATCTTAATATCCCATAGAGAGAAAGGGGGGATTGTACTGTCATCGTGAGTGTGTGTTCACGTTGATGATAGCCTTCGCCAATGCCTATCTGTCAGCCTCTCTGTCCCTCTGTCTTCTTCCATTTCTTTATTTCCTCTCTCCTCTTATATATCTCTCTCCCTCTCTTCCCCACCACCATTTTCTCACTCCTCTCCCCCAATTCCTTCTTCGATCGCCGGAATTTATACGACGACGATGAGCAACAATAGTAACAATGCAGGTTTAATGTTCGGCGACACCACGCTCACGAAGGTGTTCGTCGGCGGATTGGCGTGGGAGACTCCCAAGGAAGCTATGCGAGATCACTTCGAGAAGTTCGGCGAGATCTTGGAGGCTGTAATCATCTCCGATAAGCTCACCGGCAGATCCAAGGGCTACGGATTCGTAAGTCGTCTCTCGAGATTAGATTATTAATTCCTCCATCGCCGCCGCCGGATTGGATTCCGATGGTGATTGATTTTTGTTTTTTTGTTTTTACTTGAATTAGGTCACGTTTAAGGACGCGGAATCGGCGAAGAAGGCTTGCGAGGACGCCGCGCCGATCATCAACGGCCGCCGAGCCAACTGTAATCTGGCGTCGCTCGGAGCTCGCCGCGGCTCTCGCTCCGCATCGGCTGCTACTCCTCCCCAAGCTCCTCCGCTACCAGGTAACTGCTCAATTCAATTCACTCCACAATGGCATTTTCGTAATTTCAGTTTCATAGAGTGATCTACGAGTAATTTTTGTTTAAGGATTTGAAGTGTGATTTAGTAATGGGAAACTTTGGGACGGTGGAGATCTAAAGTTGTTGTTGTGATGTAAAATTTGAAGGATCCAACGGCGGTGGGGGGGCGAGGTCCACGTCAGCAGCATCGCCCAACCACGTGCAGTGGTACTACCCGGCCGGGACTCCTCCGACGCCGTTTCATCATCAGCCTCATCAGCCCGTCCCGTTCTACGGGTATGCCTTCTCATTACATACTTTTATTTTATTTTATTATTATTTTTTGAGTGCTTGTAATGTAAATAAACGTAAATTTCGTTTTCTTCTAGTTACTCCCCAAGCCCCACCTACATCGCCACGGATATCAGTTACAACCATGTAAGAATTAAATTGATCTTTTTTGAAAATTCTTATTTAAATTTAAATTACTGGATTTATTGTAAAAATAAAGTTGTTGGTGGGCTAAATGGCGACGTTTTTGTTGACAGAAGCTGAGCTATATGAACGGCGGGGGGCATTACTCGCAGGTGTATCCGGGGCAGGCTATGGTGGGAGCGAACACATTGATGCCGATGTACCCGCTGTATCACTACCATCAATCACACGCCATGGGGATGCCGGCCCACATATTCCCGCCAAGCCCGACGGCGGCCGGCCCATTCGCCGCCGTCCCACCCACATCCATCATGTCCAAACCGGCCTCGGTTGGTCCAAATCCAGGTCCGTTCATTTTTTTGAGAAAATACTTGATTTCTTATTAATATTTGACGATACAAAAAATAAATTTTTTTGTTTTTTATTTCTTTTTCTTAGATGTAAGATATTTAATGATTATAACGAGTGAGTTGCTCCTTACTGATATAGAATCGAGTATTTTTTCGATAGAGAAACGAATGAGGTAAAGAGTCAAACGTTGTAAACTAGGGAAAAAGAATAGGCAATGCAACAAACAGATCGTGAGAGAGAGAGAGAGAGAGGAGCTTCACGTGAAATGGTGATTTGGTAAAGGCCACCCTGTGTCCCACGTGGCCATCTGGTCCGCCCATTCTGCCATGGTCAATTGGTGTCGCTTTCCCAATTATTAATATTCCGCTAATCTTAAGCACTGTTTTGCAAAAAACAACTTATTCTACTTCATTTCTAGATCTTGTATTGTCATGTGTATAAAAAACTTAACAGCAACTTATTCTGTTTTAGTTTTTCTCTTTGAAAATTAAGCTTAGGGACTCTACTTCGACCCATGAACTATAAAAAATAGAGCTTCCAAAGTGACGAATCATTTGTCGTTGAAAGATAAACTGCATCGTTAAAATTGATTAGTGACGAAAGATCTTTCGTCGAATCCAACATTACTTAAAGCTTGTTGTTAAAGTTCTCCAACTATGAAACACGACTTTCGTTGCATATATTGCGATGCAAATAGCATGCTTCGCATTCGCTAATTTTGCCGCATATCATATGGTGAAAGTTTTTATCTTGTTATCAAGTTTAAGTCAGATTTTAGGAACTAACCGAAGTAGCTATCCAAAACTTGCTTTTGTCTTTAAATTTTGGCTAAGAATTCAAGTATATTTCGAACAAAGATGCAAAACATATTAAAGAAGTAGTGGGAAAACTAACATAATTGTTAAAAACATAAAACAAAATATATTTAGAAACGATTTAATTCAACCCGAGTAGGAAATGAGATATTTATCTTGCAATGTCATTAATATCATTGTCTTTCTCACTGAACATTGACAGTTGCTTGTTGGGTAGGTGTGTTATGAACTTAAATTCCAGCTGATTTATATTTGTGATGATAATTAAACTGATATTACAAAGAACAGTTTGCTTGGTTGTGGAATAATAGGTACAGTTGGAGGAGGATGCAGAGGATGATTAAACAAAGAAAAAAGAAAAAAAAAGGGAGAGGAGGAGAACTAGATATAAAAAGGGGGCAGCGGGCAGGGCAGGGCAAGAGGGGCTCTCTTTTTATATTTTTTCTAAATCTGAACATCTAATTCTCTAAGTACAGAGACAAGGTGAAGCTGGTTGGTTGGGGGGCTGCTCAGAACTGCATTATTTTAGCTCATGATCTGCTGTAGCTCTTTATTTTTCTTTCTTCTTTTTAATTATCAACTAATTTCATTGCTATTATTTTCATTTTTTTTCCTAATCTCTCTCTCTCTCTCTCCTTCTTTCTCTCTCCTAGCATTGAAAAACAAAAGTTGCAGAAACAGAAACAGGGGCAGAGATAAATTAAGCCATGCATTGGCCAGCTTAACCTGCATAAAGCTCTCTTTATTTCTCCCTCTTGCTAAATCAGCCTTATTGGCATGGATGCCAAAAGTATCTCCTCGTAATATATATATATATATATATGAACTTTTAATATATATAAAAATGACGTGATTCATGTTCGGAGAGATTAGCAAAAACTACTTTTAATTTGATCGATCAGCTTCGTAAAATTAAGGATTTAATTGTAACATTACGTAGGTTTAGAAGTGGCTTTGATAATTTTTTCTCGATGCGTTTATGTTGACATTGTATATATTGGATTGAAGTTGGTAACTTGTAGGGTTGGAAGTACTCTCTCTATCAATTGAAAGTCTATCTTGGCTACACAGACATATTAATCTTTATCAAAATGAACTATTCATGTCAATTGGTTAAAATGCCCATCTTTGATCAAAATATTGTAAGTTCGAATCTTTGTGCCTCCTAATTGTTGTAAAAAAAAATGTGTGGATTTGAATTTCTAGATTTACCGCAATGTTCTCGAAGAGAAACCGAAAGCCGTTGAATGTATGGAAATATATAGATATTGTGGTATACCATATATTTGAAAATAATTTATATTTGCATATGAAGGACTAAGGCAGAGTACAAAACTCCACTTAGACAAAAAGATTTTTTGATTTGGCATCTAATGTCTTGTCAGTCAACATTATTTTCAAGTTTTTTTTTAGTACATTTATTTTCAAGTTAAATCAACATTCTTCTAAAAAATTGTACCATCAACTTTTCAATGTTGTGTTTTCATTTTTTTTAATTTTATTTTTTCATTGTTAATTTCCCATTAGTAATTTTTACACAAAGTTATATAGAAATTTAAAATATATTATTTTAAATACTCATCTACGTGGAAAAATGACCGGACAAAAGACATATCTTCTAAATATTTTATTACATCGTTGGTATAAAATAAATGTTAAAGATTAAAATAATTATTATTTCTACAAAATTAAAGAGTCTCGACAGTAGAGGTGTTCATGGATTGAGTTGAGTTGGTGTGAGATACTTTGTAGAGCCAACCCAATTGTTCGGGTCGTAAACTTACTCAACCCAAAAAATATTTATTAAATAATAAACCCAACCAAATCTAACCATGAAATATCTTAGTTTAGTTGGTTCGGGTTATTCGGATCACTTATTAAAAGCATTGTATAACAAAAAAAATGATAATATCTCAAGCATTTATTTATATATTTAAATTGAATCAAGATTCGTAAGTTGATTTTTATTTATATAGTGAAAATATACACTAAAAAAACTTACAAAGTTGTTTTTAAAGGTCCTCGTGCAATAAATAATTCATAAAAAATTATTAAATGAAATAAAATTAAAATAAATATAACTATATATATAATTTTTATGGCAACTAAAAAAATAGTTTTAAAATTAATAATAAGTTCGGATTGGTTCGGTTTAACCTAAACTCGTTTCAGTGAACTATTGAACAAACCATCATTAAATTTTCATTAATTAGAATAAAACCCAATTCAAACGAGTTTATAACCCACCCAATCCTAAATTGCATTTGGTTGATCGATTTTTTTGGTAGTAAGATTTTTTTGAACATCCCTACTTATATAACATTCAAACTTAGAGAAAATATAGAATAACATAAAGGTAAATTTATTTAGGTTATAATATTAATCACGAAAAAAGGTCTATTAGGACCTAAAATATAATTGCAATAAGGGTGGACTTTTTTTTTCTCGAACAAAAAACCACTTTTACCCAAAAAGTTAATTATGCGCATGAGGTTTTACCCCAACCATTAAGTTTCATCAAGCTGGATATTAAACTTTTATAAATGTTAATATTTACTTTGGAGTTAACAAATCATTTGAAGAATCTAAAAGAAAAAAAAAATAGTAACATGTATTTAAGGTTGTGGTACCGTTTATTGAAATGGAAAGTTTATAATAAATAAATAATTAATATATATAATTTAATTAAATTTTAATAATGTATTTTATAAGGTTTTTAACTAACATTTTAAGCTGAATAATTTATTTTCAATTAAAGTATCCATTTAAATCATTTATGAATACTTATTATGTAAAATAAATATTTAATTAATTTTCAATATGTTTTAAAACGCCAACAAAATATATAGAAGAGCTTACAGGGGTAGAATCTCATACCCTACTTATTATACTAAAGTATATACATATAAAATTTTCATATAAAATACATAATTTAGAACATGAAATTTATCACTGTCCAATCAACGTCTGTATTTTATAAATTGAATTAAAAAAAAGAAAAAAAGAAAAATACGACTACCCAACTAAGATTGGAAATTTTTATCCAAATCAAATCGAGTCCTATTGTTAGTTTTATACTTCATAAAATTGAATAAAATGATAAGGATAGTTCTAAGAACCGAACCGGCTAATTTATTAGAATTTTTTTAATTTCAAGTTTCATCCCTACAATTTAATAAATTCACTTTTTTAAGATTATTTTATTATTAAAATTAAAATCAATTAAATATACCAATCACTTGAAGTTGGGAAAAAAAAAGTACCATAAAAGAAAAAAGAAAAAAGAAAAGGATGCGCCATCTTCTATTTATTTATTTATTATAAATATAATTATAATTAATTTTTCTCAACTCTTTCGAGTTTCGAAAGCTTCCTTCCAAAATATTTTTCGGAACATTTCGCTCTCTCTCTCTAAACCCCAAACCCTCTCTCTCTCCCCTTCTCACAGACAAACTCCATTTTTTTTTGAGAAGATCTAGTGAGGTACACTCATTTCCTTTCTCTGCTACTTGCAATTCTCAGTTTACGTTTAATTTAAATGTTCTTGTGTTTCCGAATTACGATCTTTCACTCTCCTCGGTTCGTAGATCCCGATTGGTTTTCGTAATTAGGGCTTATGCTGCTTTCGAAGCTTTTTTTTTGAGCTTCTTTTGATTTTATTTTTGATATTATTTTGTTCGGAAATTACTCAGATTCTGTTTTTCATGGAAGAGCCGGATGAGAGAGATGCTTCTCGCGGTGTTTCGGAGTCAACCGTCACTGCTGGGGAGCATGTAGTTGACGGAAACCTAGTGGGTTCCGGTGTTAGTGTTAGTAAGGAGCGGGTTCAAAGTTCGTTGTCGGAGGAGGAGGTGGGAAGAGCAGAGGGGGGTGATGGGGCTTGTAATGGTGGTGAGGATATCATGGTGGAAGTTTTGGGTTCTGATGTTTATTTTGATGGTGTATGTACTGATAGGACTGCTGAGAACTTGGATGAGGTTGGTTCTGGTGGTTCAACTGGGGAGGAGCCCAGTGTGGGGAGGGATGGAATATCTCCCCGTGGAGATGCACCCGATGTAGGTGTTTCTGGTGGTCCAGAAAGTGAGGGAGTGTCGGGGGTTGGGGAATCAGTAAAAGAAACGTCTCAAGGAGGTGTGGAGGGCGACCAAGGAGTTGTTGATGCTATGGTTCTGGATCATGATGCTCGGGTGGATGATTCTTCGATAGTTGCAAGCCATATGGACAGAGAGGCTGAAGCTGTTCATGTGGAGGAGGAAAACACTGGAAGCAAGGAGGCTATGGATGTAGATACACAGGTGGGATCCAGTGTAGGCAGTCTAGTTCACAACAGTCCAGATGATAAAATTTCGAACAATGAAGAACCTCATAAGGTGGAGGTTCGTTCTGTGCAACCAAAGAATTCTCCAACAGAAAATGGGTTTGGAGATGACTTAGTGAATGCAGGTGGGGAAAGGCCACTTGTAACAGAGGAAGCTCCAACAAGTGATGGGGGAGAAAGTCTGGAAAAAGAACCAGGTCAAGAGAATGTGGAGGAAGGTAAGCAAATTGTCGATGCACCAGTTGACCTGCAGGAAAGACTTGGAGTTACAGATGTTGATGCACGGAATCCTGGGATCAAGACTTCAACTTCTTCTGCAGATGGTAGTGAAAATTCAAATTTACGGGGCCAGGATGCTATTGAAAAAGCTCCTGACATGCTAATTGAAGAAAATTTGAATCCCAAAGTTATTTCTCATAGTGATGGTTCGGAGAAAGACCTTTCTAATTTGGAAGGGGATGAGAGTTGTATGGTTGAGAAAGAGCATGAAGATAAAGAAAAAAGCGATCATATAGATGATCAGAATCGAGCTGTTGGAGGAGGGGAACTTCCTAATAGCATTTTGACACATGGGCAGAAGATTTCTGATGATGAACAGCTTGGTTTATATGCAGGGTCAACGGCAGTTGAAGTTCCAGAGATAGCATCACAGGCACTTGATAGTGAAAATTTGGATCAAAGTATAGCTCCTGAAAATGTGGTGAATGTGGTGAGTACAGATTCAATATTCTCAAGTCAATCAAACCAAAGGGATTCTGAGGTAGATGTTGCAGTACAAAATGATAGTAAAATTTTGGCTCCAAGTATTGAAGTTTCTGCTGAAAACGAGCAAAATTTAAATGTGGAGACAGAATGCAGGAATTTGGAGTCAGATCCTGAATCCAATAGACAAGGAGGGGCTATTGGTGCGAACATTGAGGAAAATGCTGTCATTGATAATTCTCTGGCTGATTTTGAGAGTGTGGAAGGAATGGAAGTTGATCAAAGCTTCAATGTTAATCAGGTGGGTTTACATGGTGAGGAAGAAATGGAAGATGTGACAAGTATTGATAATGACGATGATCAAATTGCTGAATGTGCAGCCGAAAATCCTGAAGGTTCTGTACAATTGCATCAGGCTTGTTATCAGCTGCCACCAGAGAATGAAGGTGAATTTTCTGTTTCTGATTTAGTGTGGGGTAAAGTGAGGAGCCATCCTTGGTGGCCAGGTCAGATATTTGATCCATCTGATTCTTCTGATAAGGCAATGAAATATTATAAAAAGGATTTCTTTTTGGTTGCATATTTTGGGGACCGTACGTTTGCTTGGAATGAAGTGTCTCAGTTAAAGCCCTTTCGGACACATTTCTCCCAAGAAGAGATGCAAAGCAATTCAGAAGCCTTCCAAAATTCTGTTGAGTGTGCTCTAGAAGAAGTCTCTAGAAGATCTGAATTGGGGCTAGCGTGTGCTTGCACACCTAGAGAAGCATATGACATGATTAAATGTCAGATTATTGAAAATGCTGGAATTCGAGAAGAATCTTCTAGAAGATTTGGTGTAGACAAATCTGCCAGTGCGGCATCATTTGAACCAGCTAAACTAATTGAATACATCAGGGACTTGGCAAAGTTTCCATCTGATGGCAGTGACCGTTTGGAACTTGTGATAGCTAAGGCCCAGCTGACAGCATTTTATCGTCTAAAGGGGTATTGTGGCTTGCCTCAATTCCAATTTGGTGGCTTGCCTCAGTTCCAGTTTTGTGGGGGGCTGGTGGACAATGAGTCAGACTGTTTAGGCATTGAAATGGAGTCAAGTGATTTTATTCAGCATGTAGCTTCTTGCCAGGATGATGCACAGAACACCCCCTGTAAGGAGAAATCAGAAAGTCGGAGTAGTTCTTATCATAAACGCAAACATAACTTGAAGGATGGTCTGTATCCAAAGAAAAAGGAAAGGAGTTTGTATGAACTAATGGGTGAAACTTTTGACAATTTAGATGGAGAAAATTGGTCTGATGCAAGGACGACTACCACATTGGTGTCACCATCTGCTAAGAGACAGAAGACTGTCGAACATCCTACTGATTATTCAGGTACACCAGATGGAAGGAAAACTGTATCCTTTGCAAAGGTTTCTGGTACTGCACCTGTTAAAACGTCCTTCAAAATTGGTGACTGTATTCGTAGGGTTGCAAGCCAGTTGACTGGTACGCCTCCAATTGTCAAATCTAATAGTGAGAGGTTCCAAAAGCCAGATGGTGGCTTTGATGGACACGTGGTCCATGACTCTGATGTTTTCCTCCAGAACTTTGATGATGCCCAAAGAGGAAGGGTAAATCTTCCTGTAGAGTACTCCTCCTTGGATGAATTGCTAGGCCAACTTCAACTAGTGGCAATAGATCCAATGAAGGAATACAGCTTCTTGAACGTAATTGTTAGTTTTTTTGCCGATTTTCGAGATTCGTTAATTTTGAGGCAGCAGCCTGGGATTGAGGATTTGGCCACGGACAGAGGAAGTGGTAAGAGGAAAGCACTATTTACTCCTGTTGTGTTACCAGAAACTTTTGAATTTGAGGATATGAGTGACACTTATTGGACGGACAGGGTAATCCAAAATGGAACTGAAGTTCCGCCATCTCGTAGAACCAGAAAACGAGATTCGCAACTTGCAGTTGGAGAACCAGAGAAGGCTCTTCAAGGGAGTCGGAGGCCATACAAGAAGCGAAATTCTGTTGGCAATCATGTTTTGTCAGCTGAGAAGTTTACTGGCTCTGCTGATCAGCCATCTCCTGCAGAACTTGTAATGAACTTTTCTGAGGTGGATTCTGTGCCATCAGAAAAAACCCTGAATAATATGTTTAGGCGGTTTGGACCCTTGAGAGAATCTGAGACAGAAGTTGATAGGGAGGGTGGGCGTGCAAGAGTAGTTTTCAGAAAATCTTCTGATGCGGAAATTGCTTATAGCACTGCTGGAAGGTTCAGCATCTTTGGACCTAGACTTGTAAATTATCAGCTCAGCTATACTCCTTCTACCCTGTTTAAAGCGTCTCCCATTCCCAGACTTCAGGATCAGGAAATGCATCTTGATCTTAGCACGACTCAGTTTCACGATATGCAACTTGATTTAGCCTCATTCCACGACCATGAAATGCAGCTAGATTTATCTTCGATTCATGACCAGGAAATGCAACTTGATCTTTCCACCATTGGATACCAGGAAATGGAATCTGTTCTTGATCCAAACCATCACCAGGAGAGTAAACCTAACTACACTGCCCAGCTTGGGGAGATGCAGGCTGGCTTTTCAACAATCCAATATGAGAGGCAACATGATATTTCTTCAATTCATGATCAGGAACTGCACTCTGTTTTTGTTTCAAACCAGGAGACACAATCAGGTCCTATTTCTTCCCAAGACCAGGAATTGCAACATAATTTCACCTCAACCCAGTTTGGGGAGATACAGGCTGATCATACTCTAACTCCACATCATGATGAGCCACCAGTTTCTGCCTCAGCCCAGGAGCAGAATATGCAACCAGTTTTTGCCACAATCAAGGAGGAGAAGACACAGCCGGATGTTACTACACTCCAAGCCGAGACACAGTCAGTTCTTGGCATCATCCAGGAGCAAGAGACGCATGCTATTCTTGATGCAACCCAAGTTGGTACGATGCAAGCTGATCTTGCTCCAACTCATCACGAGAAGCAAACTGTTCCTGCCACAAGCCAGGAGCAGGAGATGCAGCCAGTTTTTTCCATGATCCAGAAGGAGGCACAGCCAGTTCTGGCCACTAGCCAAGAGCAAGAGAATGTGGCTGTTATTGGCACCACAATCCATCACGTGGAGGAGCGACCTGTTCCATCCACTCCCCTGGAGCAGGAGATGCAACCTGTCCTTGCCACAACTCAGGCGAATGAAATGTTGCCAGTTCTTACTGCAGCTCAAGATCATGAAAGGGAACCTCTGACCACATTGGAGGAGTCAATGGGGGAACCTGCTCCTGCTATGACAGAAGCGCAAGAAATACAACATGCTCTTGGCACAGTGAAGGGGAATGAGGCAGAAGATGTTCTTGGAAAAAAAGAGCAGGCAACTCAATCTGTTACCATTGCTACTGATGAACAAGACGATGGGCAGCCACTTGTTTTGGGGGAGGAGGCTGAAGGAGAAACTCAGCTGGCTCCTGCCATGACAGAGGGACAGGAAACACAAGTTCTTGACACGATGGAGGGACGTGAGACCGAACATGATCTTGGCGCAAAGGAGCAGGCAACTCAATCTGTTACTGTAACTGATGGTCAAGATGAGACACAACCACTTGTTTTAACTGGTGAAGAGGTTCAGGACGAGACTAAGCCCATTCTTGCCTCAACCCAGGAACTGGAAACTGAGCCAGATGTTACCTCCACTCAGGAGTTGGAACCTGACGAGGATACTATGCAAACACAGGAGTTGCGACCTGATCACGTGACAAGAGAGGAGCACGAGGCTGTGCCAGTCTCTCTTTCATCCCAGGTGCATGGTGAGCAGTCCAATCATGCTGAAGAACTTGAGCAGGATGTGCTTCCTGATAATGCTGCGAATGTGGTGCCAAAGGTAAAATTTAATGATGACATGAAGGAGGAGCATGAAGTGCAACATGGTAGTAGCACAAAGCAGGAGCTGGAGATGCAATATGATATTCCTACAGATCAGGAACAGGAGAAGCAAGATGATAATGGCACAGATCAGGAGCAGGAGAAGCAATGTGGCAATGCCGCAGATCAGGAGCAGGAGAAACAATGCGACAATGCCGCAGATCAGGGGCAGGAGATGCAATG